CCTGCTCCCTGCTCCCATAGCCCTTGGGCTGGGATAAGGGTGATCTTGACAGAGTGCTCTCAACAAGGTCTGCTCAGGACTTCCTCTGCAACTGTGCAGGGGAATGAATTGCCTGTCACCTACACCCCTGCATGGGTGACTCACCTTCCAGAGAAAGTGTTCTGTTCACCTAAGCAAAGCTGCTTAGAAAATGACTAAGGCACCTATCAAATGCAGTCTGGAGGCCCAACCAGCTATAGAGCAGGGTCCAGACACACTCTGCCCCTCACCTCCGGCCTGAAGTCAAGTGCAGAGCTGCTGCTCCAGGCCTGCTGGTTTCATTTTCATCTGAACTGAGCTCCACATGAGGCTTGACATCCGGTGATCTATTTTTTCTAAAAACTAGCTTCACTTTAGAAATGACTTTTCAGCCATCAAGACAGCTTCCCCAAGAGAAAACAAAATGTTATTTAAAGGGAACATCAGCCTGGTGGGAGCCTATATTTTTGTTTTGTATAAAGGGGAAAAAAGAATGTAAAAGCTGATATGAAACTATTTTTGTTTTTCTTATGAGATTTTTAATTTGTAAAACTTATTTATTTAAATTTTATTTTTCACAAAGAATTCCTGCTCTAGATACATTTTTCTTTTCTTTTTCTTTTTTAAAGAGACAGAGTCTTATTATGTTGCCCAGGCTGTACTCAAAACTCCTGGTCTCAAGAGATCCTCCCACCTCGGCCTCCTGAGTAGCAGGGACTATAGCCATGTGCCACAGTGCCCAGCTTTTTGTGAGATTTAAAGGGAAATCTGTAAGCCTCTAACTGCAGATCCAGGGCCCCCAGACACGGTACTGGAGATAAGTTGACAAAGACATATTTATTAGAGAGAAAGGGTGGTAAGCTGGGGATGCCACGTGGTGGTAGGAGTCTCACCACACAGAACCAAATGTTCTCCCCTGGTCCTGAAACAAAGAACAACCCTTGGTGACTTACATGCTATGCAGTGTTTTCCTTTTTCTCACCTCCAAAGTTAATGCAGGATCCTACTTAACTATACTCGGGACACAGGGAGCCCCTTGGCAGGTGTAAGTCTGCCTCTGGCTCAGAGTCCTGGGAGGCTCCAGGCTTTAGGATCCCAGCTCTGGGCAGAGCCTCACCCTTTGTAGATTCATTTGGAGTGCCATGAGGGCAGTATTTAGGAGAGCTTGATTGACAGCTAAAACTTCTAGACTAGAGAAATGTCCCCCTGGAAGTCCTACTGAGAAAATGACTATCCTATCAGGCATTCTGACCCTTCTTGACATCATCTTACAGAAAACAGTTTAAGTCACAATGTATTGAGCAAATACTACTGTTCTTACTACTACTAGTACTAACAACAACAGTTACAGTCACAGCCACTGTGTTCTGTGCCATACTATGTGCTGGCCACTGAACTCCCATATCCTCTTATTTTCAACACAAAAAGCCCATGGAGTATTTCTGATCCCATTTACAGATGAGACACACGATGCTTACAGAAGTGAAGTGATTTGCTTGAGGGGACACAGGCAGACAGTGGCAGATTGCCTGACCCAGGTGTGTCTGACCTGGCAGCCTAAACCACCACCGCATGTGACATAGAGACATCATAGACTTGCTCTATTGCTCTGGAAAAATCACTTGACCTTTCTGCCTTAGTTTTTGCACCTGGAAAATGGGCATAAGCAGACCTGCCCAGATAATAGACTATTCACCTTAACAATCAATGTTAATTAATAATTAATTGCTATAAAAAATAAACAGATTAAATAAAACTACTACCTTGGTTTAGTTATGCTCAAAATTGACATGTTTGGGGGGAAAAAACCTTTTCCTTTCAATGAGAGAGTTGGTAGAAAAAGTAGTGGACTAGATGTCAAGAAAAGTGGGTTTAGACTCTGGACATGACACTGATTTCCTGAGTAATCTCATCTACTTTATTTCTCCTTGCCAGACTTCACTTTTCTGACCTTTCTCCCTGACTTTCTTCATAGGAGTATTGTGAGAAAATATGAACACTGGCTACAAAATTACTCTTGATGCCGTGTAATTTCAAGTGATTTATATTAGGGAGCTAAGGAATTCAGTGATGTAGAGTAGCAAGAAAGGAAGAGAATCCTTTAAACTAGAAAATAAAGAATAATACACAGGCCACTGAAGAAAAATGATTTTTTCTGCATATAAGCCCAGAATGAAGAGCCCTACTATACCTCAAGTCCTGCTCAGCTCAACTGAAATGTTCTACTCAATTTGCCCTACGTCTGGCCTTCCTTTTTTAAGTTACTGCTTTTAACATTTCAGTCAGCATCACCAAGTAAATGTAGCAGCTTCACATGTGCCTCTCTTTAAATGCCCACCCATGAGAATGACTGGTACCATTCTGTTCCCTTACTAAATAGCTTGGTGTGTGGAGCCCATGGGGGCTGACATCCTTGGAGCTCCCTAAATCTACTAACATGGAATTGTCCCCTTCCCTGCCAGTTTCACACTGGTGTCATCAAAAGTGCCCATAATGCTCAGATGTTTCCAGTTTAACTGAAATACTAAAATGGGGCAAACAGGAAGCATCAGACACAACTGTGGTAGTGACTTATTAATCATGAAAGCCAAATTTTAGTTGCATTTCAACCTTTTGCTAGGAAAAAAAAATTCTAAGATGATGGAAGCCATTGGTAGAAATATGTTGCCTGTCTGTGTATCAAGCTGACTTAGACTTTTTATTTAGGACTGAATTTGGTTTGAAGATTTCTGAACTTTCCTTCCAGAAAGAACTTCTGTCAAAGCAACCAACATGAATCTGTCAGCTCTTCATCAAGACGGGCTGGCCTGTTAGGAGAGCCCACATGCTGTCCATTGAGACAGGAAAAAAAAAAAAAGGAAATTAAAAGTGACTTCACAGGCCAAAGTAATACAACACTTTTAAGAGGGTGCCAACAATGAAGAAAACAACCCTAGATAAAGCTTTTACCTCTTTCACATCTCTGCAGCTTTCTCACCAGACCCCAGCCAGGGAGGAACTGTTTACCTCCCCCAAATCACAACAATTGCCTAGGGTTGGACAACCAATCAGGGCAAGCCATCTTCTCAGCATTAAGTGATATTACAAACACTCCAGGCAGATCACAAAGGAGTCAGTGTTCAACAGGAGAACCAAAATGAGGAACCAGACCTTCATCTGTTGAGGCGAAACGGCCCAACCAGACATTTTTGTTTAATAGATGAAGGCTCTTTTGGCAGGGTCTCCGTGGTGCCTCTCCCACAAACTCTTAACAGACAATACCAGAGGCAAAACCCCCTCTTCAGAACTGCTCCTTATAATCAGAGAACAGAAGATGACCTAAAGCTTGGCAGCTTCTTGCTGTCTGGTTTCACAAAAGTGCTGGTACATATACCTGGGTACTTATTGCTAAAATTAAAGTCAGAGAGACTGTTACTTTTATTTTGAGATCTTCTGAGAAGTTCACCACACCCTTCAAAATAAATGAGGATGTCCTAAAGGTGTCTGAAAGACACAGAGGTCTGGCATTGTTCCAAAGAAACTGACTTTGACATCACTTAAAATACACCAAGAGTAAAGCCAAACAGTCCTAAGCAAGACAAGCACCTTTTAAGTGTCCTCTCAACTTGAAAGCGCACACACTTCTCTCTCCTTTCTGCATCTGAGTTCCATAATGTGGTCATCTAGAAACCTGGGGAAGACCTGCCCTTAGTCCTACAAGGCATCAGGCAAGATATCAAACGCCCCCCTCACCTGTCTCAGGTGCCTCACCTATAAAACAAGACAATTTTTCTTATCACATGGCTCTCTGAAGGAAAAAGGAGGTTACAGGTACTAAGACACTAAGTAAAAACACACCACTCATGTTAAGATATTATCTCCTAATCTTTCAGAAAGACCAGGTTTCTAGTCAAGGGGTTTTCAACATTTTTCCTGGAATAAACTTCAATTAACAATAATTGCCCGTCAGATAAGCCTCATTGGCTACAATACTGCCACTGCAATACCTAGAATAAACTTCAGACTGTTATTTTGTTTCACAGTCCCACTCTCATCATTTAATTTCACTTGATTTAAAAGTACTTAATCAAGTCATTGGTGCTCATTGTCTTCAGTTAACAAAAGTAATTTTGCCATTTACAAATGACTTCTGTTATCTTTTCTCTACTCATCCTTTCCTCTGCATACTCATCCACACCCTAGTCCTCCCATGAGGGCTGAGAACAACTTTTTAACTTCAACTAGGAAGGAAATACCTTTTCTGAAGTTACCGACCAAGCACCAAGGAGACCTCTGGGCAGGTGGAAACTCTGCACTGTACAAATGGCTTCTGTCTGTCTAGTGCCTGGTGGCTGCAAGTCGTCACGGCTACGATGAGCTTCCAAGATGGGACTATTAGCTCTGAACCTACAGATAAAGTCCCGAGTGGAGCGCACAGAATTACAGAATAGGATCGAAGTATGGGGGAAGGAGGAAGAGACTAGGGGCGGCCAGCACTGTCTTGCTGGGTACCAAGGACTGGCACAGTTCCCGCCGCTCACCTGGCGGTCTGACCCCGAAAACTTCCCAGGGAAGGCCTGAATGGTTTTTCACGGGGCACATTTCTGCAGGAGACCTTCCACCCCGTGCCCAGGCGAGCCCCCATCCTAGTGCCACCCAGGTCGTGGAGCAGAGGGCAGGCCTGGCAGTGGCACCGGGTGTTTGGGAAGGGGAAGCAGGACGCCTCTGTGCGCTCTTCCCGCGAGCGTGTGGCCGGCGAGGGTGCGCGGCTTAGAGGCCCGGGGAGGACACGGCGTGCGACCGTGGCGTTGGCAGCGCCTGCGAGGGCGCACCGGCAGACTGTCGCGAGCAGGTCTAACCCGGGCCGCCGGGCCGCGCTGCCAATCCCCGCCATCCCGGGGAGGAGGGTCAGGCCGCGACCCAGAGAAGGCTGAGGGGCGACCCATTCCCGCCGTTCCCTCGGCGCCTAACTCAGAGCCCTTGGGTCTCGCCCAGTCACCTACCGGCCCAGTGCCGATCTCCCCAACCCAGCGAGTGTCGCGCTCGGCTGGCCAGCGATCTCTTGCCGCCTGCTGCCGATCGCTGAGCTCGCGGCCCACAGTCGCCCCGCCCCGCCCCGGGCCCCGCCTCAGCCCAGACCCCGCCCCAGCTCAGACCCCGCCCCTTCATCGCTTTCTCTGCCGCCCCGGGCCACGCGCCCCCAGGCGGCTGCAACATTGTCTCGCTTCGCGCCTCCTCTCTTTGGCCCCTCCGCGACCTCGGGCGCCGCCCGCCTCCCCAAATTACCCAATGAAACTGTCCGTCCCGCTGGCCAGTCTACCCGCTCCCTAGCAACGATTGGTTAACTAGACCTGGTTTCCAGAAATGGGCACTATTTCCGGACAATATTTAGGCTAGAGCTAGCTGGGCGGACGGACTGACAGAAGGCGGAGGCGGTTGGGCTGGTGGTGTAACTAACTACACATGCGCACTGGGTTCTGACAATCTTTACCGGTTGCGTTCTTGAGGTTACGGGAAGGAAGGGCGACTGTGCGCATGCTTGGGCATTCCCAGACTCTGACTTCGGTTACCTTGGAGACCGCAAGGCGCTACCCCTAGTTGGTTGCTTTCAGCTTCCTTTCTGCTCTTAGGACGTGGCGCCTGAAGTGGTGGGGTTAGAAGCGCTTTTATTAAGCACTTATTGTGTGCCTGGCGTGGTAGAGTCCCTGAGGATGGGTAAGAAGGTTATAATACCTGTCTTAGAGAAGCGTGGGGAGTCAAGGGCCCTCATAGGGTAGACTCGTATGTAGAAATCTAGTTCTAAAGAAGAAAGCGTGCAGGCGTATGGTGCGACCCCTCTTGCCGCTGAAAGGGTGGCGTGGAGCGAGCCGTATGTGAAGCTGCTCCCTGTTGCGTTTGCAGGCTACAGAGCCAGAAAGATGAGAGCTTTCTGAAAGCAAAGAAAGGACCTGGAGTTTTGAACTTGCGCCAATGTCAACACTGCTTATTTCTGAATGGGGGCGGGAAGTGAGGAAGTAGGGAAGGTATAGATAATTTTTCTTTGTTAACTTTTGCTCATCTGGATTTTTATAGTGTTTCCACAGTGAGCTTGTATTTTATTTGTAATAAAAAATTTCAAACTTTAAGTTTGCAAAATAAATGATGTACTCCTAGCCACCCTATCTCCATCAGAGGTCCTTGGTGGAGGTGGCAAGTGACTCTAGTAGTGGGCATGGGCAAGCCCCATCCAGGGCTATATTGAAAAGTAAGGAGCACCGAGTCTTTGGGAATGTTTGAGCCAAGACTGCTGTCTGTTCGTGATTGCTTTGCAGACAGTCCCTGGAAGCTCAAAGCCTCTTTCTGGAGATCTGCATCCAACAAACATCTTTGTTGGGGGATAGTGAATACCATTCATTTAGACAGTGGTTGAAAACTCACAACCTGAGGGCCTCACCCGCTCACCTAGGTCAGAAATATGCTTTGTTTGGCGGGTGCGCTGTTTTTTTTAAATCTGAATTTGAATGCCTTAGAGCAGAGCCTGCTGTTTCTTACAGCCCCCGCCTGCCCCTGTTGTTTTATACCCAACCATTTAACCTTACGTCATCAGTCCGGCCCCTGAATCCTTTGAAGTTGTGGCTCGCTTAGAGCTTGAGCTTTAGAGTCAGTCCCTGGTGCATACCCCCGGTTCTGCCACCTATCTGCCATCTGCGGGAAGATGGGCAAAAAAGCAGCTGAACTGGTGGCCTCCAAAGCTCCTTCCACCTCCAGGGTTTTGCATTTCAGTGACTCAGGGAGAGGTGGAGCTTGGCCAGTAGTACAGGTCGGTATCAGCGATCTCGGATGCCCTTATTGTCTCTCCCACCACCTGTTTGCCTCTGGGCATGCCACTTCTCAGGAAAGATGTGGGCACAGGCTCTGCACACTCCCTGGCTCGCCTTTGCCTTCTGTCTCTTTCACCATTCCTTCTTTTTAGTTTTTGCTTTTTATTATTTTTTATTTTTAAAATTATTTTTAGAAACAGGGTCTTGCTCTGTTGCCTAGGCTGGAGTGCCGTGGCATGATCGTAGCTCACTGCAGCCTCAAACTCCTAGACTCAGACGTTACCTCTTGCTTCAGCTGCTTGAGTAGCTGAGACTGTAGGTGTCTGCCATCACATCTAGTTAATTTTTTAATCTATTGTAGAGATGGGGTCTTGGTATGTTGCCTAGGCTGGTCTCAAACTCCTGACTTCAAGCTAGCCTTCTGCCCAAGCCTCCCAAAGTGCCGGGATTATAGGCATAAGCCACCATGCACGGCCTCACCTTTCCTTCTTTAGAACACCCAGTGCCCCTGTACTTTACCTGGCTTCCCTGATACTTCTGTAGTCCTGGGTCCCCTGCATGCCCCCACCTACCCTATCAAGATTATCTATCTTTAAATCTATCCATTAACACTAATATGTATAATATTAATGGGAGAATAGTGAATTGTGTTGATCCAAAGCTGCAGCTCTAGAGAAGGAATGTCATGTCAGGTTGTGGGAGAGGAACAAATGGCTATACACTAATAAGGAAGGTGTTCAGACAAGCAGGGCCCCTTGGTTTCAGCTACTTTCCTCAGGTCTATCCAAACCCCACTGTTTGTGAGGTGAGGTGAGAAAAAACACATCTACCTGGAGTGAGCACGTGGTGTCTGTCTTTTTTTTTGAGACAGTCTCATTTCGTCATTCTTGGTAGAATGCTATGGTATCATAGCTCACAGTAACTTCTTGGCCTGAAGTGATCCTCTTGTCTCAGGCTCCCCTGTAGTTGGGACTATAGGTGCCTGTCACAACAACAGCTGTATTTAGAGATGGGGATCTCACTCTTGCTCAGGCTGGTCTTGAACTGAGCTCAGGTAATCTACTGCCTTGGCCTCCCAGAGTGCTAGGATTGCAGGCATGAGCCACACTGCACCTGGCCTTGTTTGTGAGTCTTGAAATGCTTGCACCGCCTGGAAGGAAAGCTTTAGGGCAAAATTACTTCCATGCAGCCTAAGTCACGACAACCTGGGAAGGCTTCTAGTTCTGAGTCACATATGCAACCTCAGCTCTGTAAATTGACATTTACTGGGTGACTCACACCTGGAGCAGTTGAGTGAGGTTCTCAGAACTCAAAGGTTTTCACATCATATCTATTTCAAGTCTGGAAATAGAAGGGTAAGGCTGTGCTATTCCAAAAGAATAGCAGCTTCTGTGTTGTGAGAACTTAGAAAAAGTAGCCAGACACTACCAAGTGCTTCAAGTGCATAACCTCACTGAAAATTCCCTCTGGTCCAAGGTTTCTCATCCTGGTAGTGCAGACATTTTAGATCAGATAATTCATTGTTGGAGGGGGCTGTCCTATGAACTGTGGCATGTTTAAGAGCATTTCTGGCTTCTGTGCACTAGATATCAGTAGTATCCCCCACAGACCCACCAAGTGTCACAACAAAAAAATGTCTGGACATTTTCCTAAGGAAGCAAAATTGCTCTCAATTGAGAACTCCTGGAGTTTAACCTAATAGAGTAGGCAGTATTATCACCATTTCATTGATGAACAAACTGAGGCTCAGAGAGAAGGAACTTGCTCACTTTGGGGTAACAGAAAACCCAAGATTCAAACTAGGTGGGACTCCAGAGCTGTTGCCCTCCTGCATGCAGGACTTTGCAGAGAGACTTTGGGCTTCAAGGAGCCAAGTCTGTCTGTTCTGTAGAAGTGTGATGAAGAGTGAGTAAACTCTGTGTACCAGTGAGAGAATGCGGTCCTTGGATCATTTTTCCTTTTCCGTTTGCCTTGGAAGAAAGAAAATTGTATTCTGGTTTCTACTGCCTTAGTCAGCTCAGTTTATAGTGTTCAGCCATGCCCAGTGAAAAAGTGGCTGGTGAATCATCTGAGTGTCTGTAGATCTCAGGCCCCAAATTCCTCTGAGATCCTGAAGTTACACTTGAGAATTCAGATGTGGACACCCAGTAGGTGCCTCATTGTAGATGACCTTCTCTCAGTTCTTACCTGCAGCCAACTGCAAATGGGCTGCACAGAGCACCTGTGTCAGGTTCTGGGCGGAAGGACAGAACTTGCAGACCAGTCTCTTCCCTTGAGGAGCTTCTGGTTTAGTGGGTGGGCAGACCTTGAATAAGTAACTACAAATGAAGACTTAAGTCATTGCAAGGGTGGGAAGGGTGATGAGGGGATGGATGGAGTGTATTGAATCTAGTAGGATCCAGATTCTGGGAAGTAGACTCCACTCTGCATTTTTAAGCATAGAGTTGAATGCAGGGAATTGGTTACATTGCAGATGGAAGAGTGGAGGAGCCTGAAGGTGGGGGAAGTAACCAGGAATCCATTACTACCCCTGGGATGAGGGGACTGGGTGGGGTCACTTGGAAGAGCTTGAAACCATAGAGGAGACACACAACCGCTTCTGCAGATACCACCTAAGTCTAAGAGGGATGGGGACAAATTCCTGATTCTCTTTTCCTTATGTCCTCTGGTTTCCTGCCAGAGCCTCTCACTGGCCTGGGAGCTTACAGGGGTCAGTCATCTGCAGGGCAGAGCAGAGAGTGTGAGGGCTGGGTAGGAAGGCACGTGGCCCAGGACCAGTACAGGTGTGGGAGGGGAGAGGACACGGGGACAATAACTTGGTGGAGAGGGCTCAAAGAAGGCTTTCTGGAGGAACTAAGCTGTGACCTGAAAGATAGTGGGCAGTGAGGAGGAGGAAGTATTCCCAGAAATTACTGGCATTTTGGGGCAATCCTTTTACTGAGATTTCTGAGATAACTGTGCTGTTCCCTTCCTCCATGCTTAACAAATTGAAGCACTCTTCAAGTTCTGGGCCTAAGCCCCTCTCTTCTTTATACTCTCTCCCTTGGTGTTCTCATCCACTCAGGGCTTCATTTAGTCATTCAACAAACATTCACTGAGCAACCTACTATGTGCCAGGCATTTGACTAGGCCCTGGTGACAGGGAGAGATGAATGAGTCAAGGCCTGCCCTGAACAGGGGGGATGGGCATGACTGTAATAGAATGTAGCAGGTAGACAGAATCCCTGGGCAAGATAAGAGGTAGGTCAAAGAAGGCTTCCTGGAGGAGGTGATGTTTAAATTGGTTGCTGCCAGGTACATGAGCAGTGAGCCAGGTGAATGAGGAGG